AGAATAGGTAAAACATTATAAATTAAGGCAGGAGAAACAGTGTTGTGACATAACCAGATTTCTGGCAGCCAGTGACAAATACATGTTCACATGAACCATAATTATAGAAACTATGGCGTTTTCAACATAAGTCAATATAATACCTTTGCTATTTATTTCGGGGTGTGTGACAAACAAAATACCAGTGGCTCATTTAACAGAAGAAAGTATAATACCAACCCACTGATTTTTCACTTGAATCCTGATACAACAATAATCATAATCATGTCCCGCTCAGAAATGACAGTTTCATGTTTCTAGTCATCACACTAATCAATTCGAAATGTTAGAACATGAGAAAAATACAATTTTCAGGAAAAATTAAATCTAGCAAATAAATTTATTACACATTAAAAATAAAAATGAAAAAAAGATGCCAATATCAATTTTGAAAAACTAATTGACCTATTTTCAGGGCCTTCATTACTAGCGAACTGAACCCTATCAAGCAATTTATTTTAAAGCCACATCATTTAAATGAGAGGCATGTACATATAGCTCTGTTCTCTTCTTTCCTCTGATGAGATTTGTCAACTAAAGGTAATTAGTATGCATCTTACTAGAAAGTAGTCTGCTGAAACATGCAATTTGATTGGCTGCTGATCATACATGACATAAACATGATTTGCTTCAATAATTGATAAGATGTAGTTTGGTATAATAGCTAGTAAATCAGTAAAATGTGTGCCTCTCACTTTTAGTTCTGCATTTTTGTTTGTAATACTTAATAATAATACTGTAAAACATGTCTTTTTAGCTAGCATGTTATTTTAGCTAATTAAGCTAATCTGTAATTTTGCTAATTCAAGATGTCGCTAATTTAGAATAAAGTATATTCTCACAATGAGATTGTTGGCACTTTAGTTAATTCATGCATGGAGTCAAATTCGCTAAAATGCATGTAGCTATTTAAAGAATGTTTTACAGAATTTAGTTTCCATGTAAACACACAAATGTAATGACAATTTTTGAATAAAAATACAAAGACACATTTGCCAGTCAATTTAAAAAAAAAAGAAGTTCACTAGAAACTCATTACTTGGCCTTACATAACTTGTAAAACTTACAGGATACTGTAGTCCAGCAAATATCTGAAACACAAGGTAAACCGGGTACACCTCCAATCTAGAACAAAAATAAAATATGACATTTTCAAATTGTTTTAATTGTGCATTTATTTTTTAAGAGACGTTTTATTGGGTACTTTGTATTCTGAATTACATCTGTATATTTCTGTATCTGTATCTCAGATATAGCAGTATAGGGCTCCACTTCTTAAGGTGCAATATCATCTTACTTGTCCTCCCTTCTCATAATAAATTCGTTTACAATAACAACCTCAACATTTCACAGAAATGTATGTGTTTTCTTACATAAATAAAATTTACCAGTAATGTTTCATTTGCATCAGGAATTATCAGACACAATCTACGAGAGACTCAGCGTAATGACAATCATGACATAAATGTTCATAACTTTGCACATGACATTGTGTACATAATGAAGTTGCATATTTATGTGGATTAATTTTTGATTTGTGTATAAAATATTGTGCAAGATCTTAAACCTAAATTCTTGAACTTTACTGTCTGTTGTAATTTTCATCATAAGTTTGTGACTTCACCCCATTCAT